TGTAGCAGGTGGAAAGTTTTACGTACCTGGACAGCATCATAGATGAACAAGAAGGATCTGATGCAGACGTAATGGTGAGGATTGGCAAAGCATAGACAACGTTCCTACAATTGACGAACTTATGGAACTCGAAACAACCGTCAACTAATATCAAAGTCACAATTTTCAATACGAGTGTTAAGACGGTTCTGTTGTACGGAGCTGAAAAGTGGAGAACTACTACAACCATCATTAAAAATATATAGGAATTTATAAACAGTTGTCTACGAGAGATACTCACTGTGCAATAACCAGATACCATGAGCAACAGCCCACTATGGAAGAGGAAAAACAAGCTTCCATCTGAAGAGGAAGTTAAAAAAGACGAAGGAAGTGGATTGGACATAAAGTGAGGAAGTCCACAGCCTGCATCATGGGGCAAGCGCTAATATGGAATCCGGAAAGGAAACGGAGAAGTGTAAGGCTAAACTACACACTACGTCGAGAATAGGAAGCAGACATGAAAATGATAAATAACAACTGGAAAGAACTGGAAACGTTTGTCCAGGACAGAGATGGGCGGAGAGTGCTTTTGGACGGCCTATGCTCCTCCACGAGGGGTAACTGGAGTGAGTAGTGGTAATCTGTTAAATATTAGTTAGTATTATTCCTGTAATTGACAGTCACTATTTTTACTATATATTTTCATACTAAGGTATAATCTCATTTACTACAGTTACTGTTAATGATCTGTATTGGTTAGATGAGATAATTTTAAATTAAATCGAAGTATAGTATGTTGGTAAATCAAAGTAGTCATTTTTTTCTGTTAGAACTTGCTTTATCATCTGTTATAAAAACTATGCATATAGAAATAAACAGATACATTCGAATCATAGACTTGAAACATCCATTTCCATGATTTTTTCTAAGCACAAGATATATTTCATGCAATGACAAAGTCATAACATCCTATATGTCAAATCACATGAAGACTATGTGATGACCTGAATCCCTTCTAATTTCGTATAAAAACATTAAGTTTGTATTTTGAATGTCGTTTGTAAAAAGAGTAGCTTTTTAAGAGACATACATAAAGTAACAATTTATCTATAATAATATACCTCTAACTCAAGTAAGAAAGAAATAAGTGAGAGACTGTGTAATCTAAAAAAATCGTAAACGGAATTTGTAAACTGTTATCATTCGTTAGGTGAGCTGAAAGTGTAACTAGAGTGAATGACTAGTGTTGATGTAATTAAGTAAATTATGATGGTTTATATGAAGAATATTTATGAATATCACCGATGAAATGTAAGGTTAGACCATTAAGACAGTGTTTGTTCATTGGCTTCTTATTGTTTAATGTTACTTTTAATTCATTCAGTTTTAGCATTGATAAAATCGAACTAATATTGTAGTGAACAGAACACGAGTGTGGACAATCGAATGTATTTGACACGAAATTACAGAGCATCTTAATAAAATCTGAGAACCATATAATAAGTCGTTAATTTGCAAAATATCAATCCATCATATCAAACTTGACTGTTCCTGTTGCAAACATCAATCTATTGTCTCATATTTTATTGTTAATGCGTTTTCATACCAATTGCGTTCCGTTCCCATTCTTTTCTCATCGACTTTCTACTGAAATACATTATATGCCTGACCACCGTTATATAATACGTGTGTGGATATAAGTAACCCACACCACAATATTAAGTAGGCCGTCATCATTTGAAAACGTTTATTCAAATATCACTGTGTAGCAATTTATCATATTAAACTCACTCAGTTAAACTGCATATCCCTTCATTAAACAAACAAAAGTTATTCTTTACAATCGAAATCTGATCATTCACAAAACCTAAAGTAAAAAAAACGATTAAGTATTCAACATTTGCTTAATTCTTTGCAATCAAACTGGCTACAGTGTACATAAAACAATGGTTAATAACACAATTGATGACAATAAATTAACCTTTACTTTTCACCAACTATATAAACTGGTTTATAAGTACGTATATTCAAAGAACAGAAAATCAGGAGTATACGTTTTCTTATTGAGGAGTTTTCAAAAACTCTTAGATTTATAATTCAAAATTACTTTATAGTTGAACTGTCATTCAGTTGTTTCGTATGGAAAAAAACTTGTACAAAATCTTATCATACCACTTCATCTTCTATAAAGTAAAATATTCACTTTATGCAATATGAAACTAAACATCATCAACTATTAAAATAGATAAATTCCAAATAAGCTACTAATTTCGGTATACATGTTTCACACAACTCTTACATAGATTTAGAATAAATCACTTTAATCATATTTAATTCTTTTCATAACTCAAATTTATTTGAAAGATGGAAATATTTCATAGTTTGCACTACTTCAAATCAAATATATAATTTGTTGCCAATTTATAAAAGTTAAAAGTCAATCAATTATATATATATATATATATATATATATATATATATGCACCTCCTGATACGTTGAAGTTAGTGCTTCATTGATCCTTTTGCAATTGTTCTCCATAGTAGTTTCTTCTTCTGTGAGTTCACCTTCTAACGCTTAGAAACTAATGCTGATTGTTGGTGGAGTGACATCTATAGGTTGGTCAGTAGATGCTGCTGCGATGTCTGGTAGATTCAGTGGAGCTGGCTTATTCAAGAGTGAAAGAATTGATAAAAAGATAGTTTATTCTTATGAAATGTGAAAAGATGGATAAATGTGTGGATAGATAGATAGACAGATAGAGATTATTGAATTTCATTGTGTACATCATGAACTGATGTTGATTAGACAACGAGTAAAACTCAATAAGCACACTGGACAAACCTTTCATCTTGATATGGTATTCCATAGCAGTGTCAGTCCACTAACTAATCAATGTTAGAACTTAAGACACTGAAGTTCTGTGATGAGTGCTTGACATTTAGACCATTAAGTTGTCATGCAATAGATTAGGTTTCAAACTTTAAGTAATCTGTAATTTGATATAATTAACTTTTAGTCCCATTGGTTGACTACTGGATCACACTCAAAATCGTTAAACTTCATCGATCATGGATTCTTATTAGAACTAGAGGGATTATTTCTTGAACTCAGTCACTACTAAGGAAATCTTTCCCTCTGTTCCTAGATTTCAGTGATTGGCTTTCCTTCTTTGTCCTTGACCGATCTCTCTGGTTTACTATCTTTCACTACCAGTTTCTCGCTTGTACCACATGGTTATCTCATGTTTCCTTCTGTTCCAAATTTTTCCGTCGTCGTTGCAATGCCTCCTACGTACTTCTGCTTGTCGGTACTAATGCCTATTTTCACTCTCTTGTTTAATTCTGTGTATTCAGAATATGTTTTGACTTTCTCTGTTCTTGTTGACTGTTGTTAGTTACTCTCTTCTTTCTTTTTCTTTCTTAAATCCTGTACGGGTTTTCGCCAGAGACACACTCCATATGATGATGCTTCTTGAGGCCCAGCACCTCCTAACACGTTGAAGTTAGTGCTTCATTGATCCATTTGCAATTGCCCTCCATAGTAGTTTCTTCTTCTGTGAGTAGATCTTGTAACGCTTGGAAACTAATATTGAAAGTTATCTTGAATTCGTTGAGTTTGTCAGTATCTCGTAGGAAGTCTGTATTGAAGCTATGTACTACTGTTGTACAGTTGTCCAGTGCATCTCTAGCTCCAGTTTCATCTTGGCAATCACCAAGTGGTGATGTGAAACCATGTCATCTCCTCTCCTGTTTCTCACACATTCCATTGAACTTGTGAACTATTGAGTGATGCAATTATGATCGATCTGGTTGTGTGTAGTGTGATCCGATGAGACACATGTAGCTTTGTGTATGCGTTTGTTTGGTAATATAGTTCCGACTGTAAACATTTTGTTGAATGGTAATAAATTTGCAACTCTGTCAACATTCTGCTTCGTTTCTCCTAGTCCATCCTCGTGATCGAGTTGTATCTTCCTAAGCGGTGTTTTCGGTTTGGACTTTGAGGTTTAGGTGTCTCATCAGGATGGTGATATCGTTTCCTGTGCACTTCGCTATGACCGATTGAAGCCTCTAGTGAAACTGATCTCTATCATCATCGTTGGTATCTTAGGTCAAATTTTAAGTAGTTCCATTTATTTATTCTGCTGAGTGTTTCAAATAACTCTTATTCAAATTTAGAACAAATCCTTTTACTCATATTTACTTCTTTTCATAACTCAAATGTTTTTTTAAAATGAAAATATATTTTCATGTTTGCACTATTTAAGATCAACTAAATGTCTTGTTTCAATGGTTAAGATCATGAGTCTGTTGAAGCTAGACCACCATGGAAAATCTGAGAGCAATTGACGGCCGTTTCGTCCTATTGTGGGACTCCTCGGCAGTGCGCATCCACGACCTCACCCCCTGCGAGATTCGAACTCAGTAACTACTGGTTTCGTGCGCGAGTACTTAACCACTGGCTTCACGAGGTATATCCTGGAGTTCTAGTGAAATGTAGTGACCTGTGGAGTTCAACCAAGTCTGTTGGGAAATAGTACCTCACTGATGACAATGGTGAATGTGTAGCTCAATGTCGTTGATTAGTTGAAGTTAGACATTAACACCGTTGAATGTCAACTCAGTGATCTAGTGGCTAGGCACTCGCGTGCGAGACTGATAGGTTTTGAGTTCGAATCTTGTGGGGACGGGATCGTGAATGCGCACTGCTGAGGAGTCCCACAATAAGACGAAACGGTCGCCCTGTACTCCCAGGTTTTCCAAGGTGGTTTAGCTTCAACTGACTCTTGATCTTAACCATTGAAATTACTATAATATCCACAAAACCCATCTGATATTAAATAACTTGTTGCCAATTTATGAAATTTAAAAGTCAATCAATTCAATCTATCTTTCATGTACGATATCATTTCTTTTTCTACAATATATATGTATGTTACATAATTTATATATCTTTTTATACAAATGACATATCAAAAGTACTTAAATGGTTAGATGAAATAACTTTTCATTTCAATCTATAAAGTATATTCATTATCATAAAAAAATATCAAATGTGAAAAAGGTTTTTCATCGAATGTTTCATGAAAAATAAAATCAGTTAAATGTGTATCTGGGGCGGGGAAACAGATTAAAAATTAAAAAATAATTGATTATTATGTAATAATAATAATAATTATTAATATTTACAGTAGAAACAATGTTATGTAACGAAGCATTCAAATTATTTATTCATTACACAATCATCCCAAATATTTTTCCTTTGATATAAATCTTATTAAAATAAATAGATTAAGAAAATGCAGTAAAGTAAAGTATGTAGATAATGAATTATTTCCTCAAAAGAAATCAACCATAATAATAAGATTATTATTATTATTATTATTATAATACCACTTATGAACAAGCCAAAAGATTTCACTTTTAAAATGAATAATAAAATAAAAATCAATCTGAAAAAATTGTCTTTTTTTCTTTTGTTGGGGGGGGTGAGGGTGTGTATGAAGTGAATCAGTTGTGTTTTTTTATTTTTATTGAATAAATTTATTTTATTCATCTGAATAAAATGGTTCTTCATTTTATAACTTAATCTTGATGGACGTTGACAAGCGACAATTTTTGGTGAAGCTAAATCTCTTGCATTACTATCACATGTACGATTTTTTGTTTCAATCATATATGAATAAAAGAATATCCAACAGACAATAACTATAACTAAAAATGGTAGAAATGAATAACCACCAATTGCATCCTTTAGAAAAGAGAAAGAAAAAAAGAGAGAAAAATAGCGTTAAAAGTAAAGATTGTAAGTGATAAACTCAATCAATATAATATTAAAAAATAGGATGGTTCATTAATTTAACGGTTATATATCATAAAACAAGTTTAAGGAAATTTGGAACAAAGTATTTTCTTATACCGAGAATACAAAATGTAGACAATTGAATATTATTTCAGTAATCTAAATATAAAGTTCTAATCAAATCCAATGTTAAGACAAAATAGTTTCTCAATGCTTCCTGGTTGTCAATAGTTCTGTAACTAAGACAAGCGCGTAATGTAAATTATGAAATTCAACAATACATGTTCTTTTGAATGTATTTCATATTTTAAACAGAAATAGTTGAACAACTTTCATTAGTTTGGAAGTGAAAAATGACATGTTTTGACATTGAAAATCCTACGTTACCACTATACAGTATGGCTGGAATTGCTATCTTAATAACTGTTAATAACAATCAAGATGAGTTCCATAAGTCTAGTTGAAATCCTATAGTCCGTGGCATATATATATATATATATATAATGCTGATATTTGTAATCACCTCTATGAGAATGGTCTGATTTTTATTTGTATCAGTCATTATAACATTTATAAGTGACATGTTTTTTACACTATGATCAATTTTTATTGACATCGTTCATTATTTATAAATAGAATTACATCATGAAAGAATGCGAATAGTCTTCTCATGATTCCAATAAATGATCATATGACAATTCATTGTTCAGACGTTTACTATTTACATTCATATACTTAACAAATGTATGTCTTTCTAATTGTATGTAATTAATGATTTAAAAAATACAATTACCTACCGTTTTAGACATAAAAATGTATTATGTAGTTGAATTGTAGTTTAAAAGATTTATCATGCTTTAAAATTTATAAGAGAAATAATCAATAAACTAAATTCCTTGAGAGGTAAACTATCCAATTCAGAAGTGTTTTACTCATCTTTTGATAATATCTCCTTACTGATCAACATGTAATCTTTGAAAAATACGTATTCTCAATTGACGTAACTTTTGAATATTAATGAAAATTAGTAAGATTGTTTAAACGTTTTTATTCCTCAGAAAATGAATCAAAATGTACTTTCTCATGAATGTATGTAATCATTTCTTTTTTATTTTATATATATAGTTTGAGTATAACTATTATCCATTATGTTATAGTCTGAAATTGACTTTAATTTTCTATGAAGATGAGATACATTTATAAATTAGCAGCCAAGGAAACTATCTAAATAATAATTCCTTGAATGATTTGGCTGATAAAATAAAATGTTATAATTATCTAATTGATATGGTTTAAGTTTTATATATTTGGTACAAACATATGAAATCGTTGTAGTACGACGGTTCTAATCAATCATTTCGAATACTAAGATGTTTAAACTCCGCCTGGAGTCCCACCAGGGGCTACTGCCGGTCCCAAGCCCGTATAAAGGAGGAGGGTCGGGCATGGGGTTATCGACCTCATCCCGTAGAAAACTAACTCGCTAAAAAAACGCTAACCAGAAATTATTCAAACTAAGATATTTAACCGACATTAATCTATCACTATTTGTAGCCTGATCCAAAAGATTTAAGTGTTTCGTCTTTTTTCTTTGTTATGTTGCCATGCTGTGAATTTTGGATTTACTAATTTGTCAGGTATAGTTTTGATAATTTGGTAAATTTGACTCGGTAAGTTTAAGTTATAACTAAATGATGATTAAGTTACCTAATTCTTTTCAGTAAAGTTTGTGATTAGTACTAGCGTATAACCTTATTTCTTTCAAAATAAATACCTTTTAATTAGTTTAAATAGGAGAAAATCAAATAAGATTTTCATCCTTACAAACTTACAACAGTTTTCAACTATGTCATAGAACAATGGACGAAGACTCAGGTAAGGGAAAACAGTTTACCGTTTTATGCAAAATCGCACAGTGCTTTTATAAAATATATAAATCATGCATTAAACACGTATATTGCACGTTTTCCTGAAGTTGTCCTTTACATACTCTATAATTCTTCTTATTCTCTCCTTATTCCGATTGGACTTCGTTTTCTTTCTTGTTCTCTTTATGTGAATATTTTGCTGGAAACCATTTCACTCCCTATTCCTGCTACATACTACTTATATCTGTCCGCATACAAAGTGCACACCGTAATAGCATTGTAATCATTTATTAAATAAGTAAATAGAATATGTATCAGAAGTGATATGTGCCTATCTTCGTTAGGCCTTTTTTCACATACATTCAGTCCAAACTTGTTATTTACGTTATTTATCTAGAATGTATACAACAGTCTTATTCAACACATCATAGTAATAATGTTCAAATAATGATCCGACTGAACTTGGGATACGGTCAGTGAATGAGTGATGACATTTTATAATATAACCACTTTTCCAGTTTTTCAGAGTCTGTGTTAAAATCTTATTCCAATTCACATTTTCTTCTAACTTAATACATTCAGAAACAGAAAATATCTAAATCATACTTCAATCTTTAGAAAGTAATTTTATTAAATTTATTACTTACATTAATGCTTGGATAACTGAATAACACCAATAAATTGCATAATAAGTTAACTCCTTGACTTAGAGAATAGGCTGCAGCTCTTGGTTCTTGTCTAAATATTTCAGCAACAATTACACCAGGAATTGGACCTAAACCTAAAGCAAAACCACAAACATATAGAATTATAAGAACAGCTGAAATTAATCCAGCTGTTCGAGCTGTTGTTGGATCTTTTGTTGAACTTGCTACATTCACTGAAATTGTTAAAAATAATAATGAAAAAGCAAGAAGTACTGCTGGCCATAAAAGAAGAGTTCTACGTCCTGCACGTTCAATTAAATATACCGAAAGTATAGTCATTAACACATTAATTGCTCCTACAGCAACTACACAAAACTGAATATACATCAATGGAATTCCAGCAGTTTTAAGCATTGTAGAAGAATAAGTGATCACCTGAAAGAGAAAACCAGATAAAAAAAATTTAGTTTGTAAAATAAATGAATTTAATTATTTTGTTAACCTTCTGTGAATTATGTATTGCTTTAATTTTCAGCTACATATCTTGGTCGGTTTATTATCAACTAGTTGTTGACTTCTTATTCTTCTGCCTGTATACATATGTGTGTAAACTAAAGAATATACAATGGAATAACAGCTATCCAGGTGATTTTGTCAAAAGATATCTATCATAACGAAAAATAGCCCGAATATCAATAAGGTCAACCATAAGACTCATAGTCTAAACCTCGATCTTAAAGGAGACACATCAGGTAACATTTTAATATGTCAACTGAAATGATCTGTTAACAGGACATTTCACGCCGCTAAGATATAAGTCATTACTTACATAACGAATCGATGATAAGTTAGCAACGATGGCCTTGTTCATTTGTCTTACCAATTCAACTGATCCTGCAGGTTTACTTACATAGGCCGTACTCAGAGCCGTTTATCATTGAGTATCTGTAAACAAATACTGGCGTATTTGATAAAAGTTGTCAGGAAATCTTTTAATAATGCCACAATTTCTCACTCGGCAGATAGTGAATATCATCTTAAAAAAGATGTAGCTTTCTCAGTTTTGCACTAAATTTCAGGTAATCTTCCTAAAAGAGGAAGATTGCGACTTTTCCATACAATTGTAGTCGTCGGTTTCAACCTTTGAAGACCTTACTTATGTGTTCAAAAGAGACATGTTCTGTCTCTGACAACTGGGTAGTCATTTACTACAATTGAACATTGTAAACCCTTTATCTCCCCCCAATTCCCTTCATTTTTATTTTTATCCTGTTCCATTCTTAATTTACACATTTATATTTCCCAATTCACATAAATTTCTTACCATAATAATTTTGACAACACGTCTCTGATTATACGACATTATTATTATTATTATTAATATTGTCCATTGCTCAGGGAAAGTTCTACTATGCATTTCATTTATATGATTTATTTATATGATTTTATTGATATTACACTGATTATACCTTGACACCTTACTATGGTTTCCTGTCGACTACCTCCAACCACCATCTAATTTCAATATATAGTGCCCGCAGTGTCGAGTCACCTAGACTGGTGGCCACATTGCAACGTGATCGATAGCATTCAATCTGCACTAATAAGGACTAGACACGCAGGATATTGATCGCCACCCAGTGATCAATCAATTGTGAATCACTCTAACCTTTAGTAAATGACCTTTTTGATTCACAAATGACACAATTTCGATGTATTTATCCCGTAAGAGATGTAAAAGTTTAATTTTTTCATACACACTACATGTTTTAGTTCACTAGCATGACTTATGGTAAAACTCTATAACACAACACAATAACGTTACAAAGTTCATTCTATTACCTTGATCATAAATGCATGACATCTTTGATTTTCAAGTAGTACAATATGATAATCAATTTCTTAATCATGTTAACCAAAGGATTCATTCATTCATGAATATGTGGTTGATAAAAATCTACAATATCTACCAATGGAGTTAATTACTATGATTAATAACATTTCATCAAGAAAAAAAATATTTAAAACTAAATGGGTTCAAAACTAACAGCATTAATTCCAGAAAGCTGTTGAAATACTTGTATGATACAAGCAATTAATACTGGCATACGTAAATCTTTCTGAGTGAAAAGTTTGGAAAATTTGAATTTTGGTCGTTTTTCAGCTTCATTCATTTCTCTTTTCATTTCATCAAATGTTTCATCAATATTATCTTTACAATTAAGTCGCTGAAAGGCTTTACGTGCTTGTTCTTCTTTTCCTTTTTTCATAAATAAAAAACGTGGACTCTCAGGACAATAAGGTAGAAGAATTAATGCAATTAATGCAGGAATTGATCCAACAGCGACAGATATGGGCCACAAAGTTGATGTATTTAATGTGTATGTTAATGTTGCTAAATAGGATACAAGTATCCCGATAGTTAAAGCAAGCTGATGTAATGAACCAATTCCACCACGAAGAGATATGGGTGCTATTTCTGTTAAATACATTGGTGCTATTCCCATTGATATTCCAAAATTTAATCCATTTAAAACACGTCCAACAAATAGTAATGCAGGTTGACTATATGCCACACATGGACCAACCATTATTCCTCCAGCGATTGCAAATAAACTGTTTACTATCAGACCATTACGTCTATTAAAGTAAATACGAGAACATCATTTTAGCGATTTTCTTAAAAAATAAACAACATGAAATAGTAAACATGGACGACATAGTTTTGAACTAATTCGAAAAATTTGAAGTTTTAGCCGCTGAAATGTCTCACTGCTCTATTCAACGTACAAAGATGTTTCAGTTAAGTAAATTTTCTTCTTGACTATGTCATTTTCTTGAACTGTACAATCGTAATCATAAGTCATTTTTACAATGAGTAGTCAATAGTAGTATAAAGCAATCTTACGAAATTATCAAGTCTAGCCATACATAATTAAATACGTAAAAAAGCTTATGAAAGCTGGGTAGTGTTACGTTGTTCTATGACGCAGTTAAAGTAAAATAACTTTCCAGAAAGGATGTGATTTTTCCATTTATTTAGTGCGCAAAATATTCTGCAGCATGTCGTCAATCGAATTGAGTTTTAACCACTTATAGATATATCATTACATAGATTTCTTCTAAGAACATTTGATCCTATTTAAAACAATAACGCAAAATTTAATCTTTATTTGGTTTTACTGTATTATTTTCAAAATAATCAAGTGGTAAAACTGAAGTCATCAATAAAGGAGGTCATTTGGATTAGACTCATTTAATGATTTAAGTTTATAGTTTGCAAATCATAAGTTGAATCAACATGAACGTTTGAATGCGTGCTATTAACAGTGTCAATCAAATAATCATCATAAAGTGTTAGTTATCTATAAGGTGACACTATAATTTATGGACAATTTTTATGCAGCGCTAAAATGACTTTGAATTATTCACCTACTTACTAGGGTTAAATGAGGATTATAGATTAGTATGAAGAATCAGAATTAGGATTTACAGTTGAATGTTAGGGTTAGGAATAAGATTTAATGTTTTCGTCACGAACTGATATGAGTTATAACGCTAAAATGTTATTTAGCCAAATGAGTGAATGAATTTCGCGCCTAAATCCAAGACATGCTATCATAAATCTGATTGGTTCATCCAAAATTTATAATCTCACCATCTGTAATCAAATTAAACCATTATTTACCTTCCTAAACAATCAGCTATAGCACCACAACTGAAAGCTCCAATTGCACCAGCTATTACAAAAGCTGTGCTAACTTGAGCATATAAAAACTTGGTGTCACAAGATTTGTTGTATTTTCAGCTGCACTTGCATTTTTACCCAACATAGTACGAGATAAAAACTCTTTAATATGCTGTAAAAATGTAAAAATGAAACAAAAAGGTTTGAAAAATTTTCAGTGGTAAAATCCATGTAGTAAGTGTTAGATAATCAAGAAGAATATACTCCAAATAATCATGAAATTCAAGCAGAATAACTTTTGTACTAAAAAGAAAACTGTTAACCATGAAATATTGTCTTAATCAAGATATTTCCACAGTCACAAAATCTAGGGTTGTGTGACAAAGCCTCTAGAGGCTATTAGAAGCAAATATTCCATATATTGTTTATTATAAAATTGATAAAGAACTATAAATGAAAATTAAATAACACAGATTATCTGGATTCCATGTGAAATTTATTTGATTATTACCATGGTACTATAAATATGTCAATCAATAGTGATTACATAATTGAGACAATGATGTTTAGAATTTAAATAATCGATAGATTATAAACGTCCAATATAGTTCTCAGTAATTTCATATAATTTTTAACTGAATTTCAGTTCAGAACTAGTTAAGTTTTTATTGCTAACAATACTTTACACCATCTTAGTAACTAATATTTAAATTGATATTTTCTTGTAAATAAGCTTCTAACTAGTTAGTATCGTTTCATCTGTTGTAATATTGGATTACATTTCTTTGTAAACATTTCGTTTCAAACCTTTGAATTCACCCAAAAAATATGAGTTATTAACATATCAGTGTAGTTCATCCAAGCATCCAGGTTGAAATTTAGAACTTAAACTGTAGTTTCTAATGTAATTTACACTTGAATACTTAGTCATCATACACTTTCTAGATAAGAAAGTGATGAGAAGTGCTAGATACAATATGTTTCTTGAACATTGAGGAACGGCAAAGTTGACATCAACCTATAATGATCACATTTTTAATAAAAATATTATTCCTTTTATTCGAACTTACAATTACCAATGTTATAATCATGCTTGATTTGCGCCATTATTCAAACATACATTATGTACTAATTCACAATTGTTTGATCACTGGGTGGTGATCAATGTCATGTGTATCAGGTCATTCTTAATGTAATGTGGCCACTAGTTTAGGTGACTCGACGTTGCGTGCACTATGTTGAGATAAAATGGTGGTTGGAGGTAGTCAACAGGAAACCCTAAACCAAGGTTTCTTGCTACTTGGCACTCGTCAGCAAGGTGTACCTGTAATCTCCCTGACGGATTCGATAGCGTATCATCCAGCCTCACAGTTAATGGTGTTACCACTGAGCTATCGAGCCGCGACTGACCTACTGTAGGATTGTGATATATTCACAATTGATTGATCACTGGTAGGGATCAATGTCATGTGTGTCAGGTCCTTCGTAGTGAAGATCGAATGCTAATCATTTCCCCGCTATAACACGCTGACAAATTTATTCGCCTTACAAACGCAATCACTTATTCCATATTTTGTATGACGTATGAGTCTAAAGCTTGATTCTTCATTTTGGTTATTCATTCATTCGTCAATACTAATACAATTTGATGGATAAACGTCTGTCATAATGAGTGGCATATACTACATCAATTCAATATCTAGTCAATCATTAATGTTTTATTAATGAATTGAGTTAAAATAGAATGCACAATTTAATCTTTTATTCTTGACCGATAACTTTACTGAATATTTTGAATCGCTTCAGTCATTTCTCCGGGTCATTTAATGGTTTATTGTCATGTTTAAAAAGTCATTTTCTTCATCAAACATGTAATTGACTTACCTCTCCTGGCAAATTTAATATTCCTAAATTGTAACCAATTGTAAAGGATGATCCTAAACACGTCAAGAATACAGAGAGCGCCAATGACTTCGTGAAATTTTTATTCTTTTGAAAATGTAAATAAACAAATAAACATCTTGGCAATTAATTTTTTAGGAACAAATTTTTTTGTGATAAATTGTTTTGTATCATAAATTGATGTTTACGGAGAGATCGTTAAGAACTAGTAACTGTCAAACTGGTATCTCATTTTAGTTCAACAGAGTAAAATTAAAGACCCTCAAAGTCAGTACAATGTAATCTTACAATTCATCTTTTATAATAATGCTCATGTGTTTAGAGGTTGGTTACCTCCAGCTTCAACTAACAACAGTGACCTGTGTAGATAATCACAAACAGACTTTGTTGATAATCCATAAGTGATAATAGTTAAAAATGTCCCTTGTCTCTTAATGACTGAAAATATGAGCACTTAGATGCTAGTTTAGTAGGACAGGTTCCGATATAGAACAATTCCAACAATTTTGACGAAGTTACTGAGATCAGCGATATCTTGCAGATGTTCAGTAGCTACGTTCACACAAGAATCATAGTAGAACTTGAAATTTCAATTCCTGTATGTCCTTAAAAGAATAACAGATGGTTCACTACAAAGATCAGTTTACAGAAGGCCAACCTAAACATGTCACTACAATGATTTTTGAATTTGTGCGCAGTACAGGTGGATAAGAAACTTCATTAAATCGCTTTTATCTATGGTTTGACTAACCAGTATTGACGGTATAGTCAAAGACAAATTGGATAAACTTCGAAAGTTACTTTTCAATAATGTATAACCTCCTAGAACCATAGGCACTAACAAAGTCGACGTTGTTATATGAGAGACCAACTACAGTACTAATAAGGTCACCTTCAAGAACAATAAATAGGTCTTGAAAATAAGATCTTCCTGATCTTTGAAAAAAATCTTGTATTCTGTTCAAATTTGTACTGTCATTTTTAGCTATGCTTTGACTCCTGAAGGTATCAGGGATAATCTGTCATAATATTAATGAGCGTTTTTCGGTTTACATGCTCTTGTATAACAGTATTTTCGCTTTTGGAAGCGAGCTCTTTTAAGACGCTTCCCTGGATATTGCCCTACCTGGTTGTTAAGTGGTTTATGCAAGTATGAATCATCTCCTAAATGTTGGACACACTGCCACATCATCATCTTTCAAATTTATCAATACGGTTTAATAGAGGGAGGATACAGATCAAAGACTTATCCTTTGCAGAGACCTTGCCAATCTATCGGTTAAAGCCAAAGCCCAGAATACTAAAGTGAAATATTCAGTCCCTCATTGTACTGTGGTAATAATCCCTTTTCTAATCTCCGTAACTGATTGTTATTCGCTGTTAGTGCCCTGAAAATTTTACTTTCCTAATTATTGATTATTTGTTAATACAGCATTCAATCATTCATTTTCTCATACAAATCGAGTGAACATTCACGGCTAAACTACCACACTCTTAGCATCACTGACTGTTTATTAGATCAATAAGTGACAAACATTTGGTATTCATTGTTTCAGGATAATGTTTGACCTAACTTCTCTCTATTTTCCAGTAAACTAATATACATGTCAAATGACCAGAAATACAATTATATAGCTTCAGTAAACGGTATTATCGAAAAGAATATTTCCTCCCCTTATGATTCATACAAGTAATTAACTATATCTTGTCATATTTCTCATTTTGTTCAGAAGCAAACTTTAAAATGTCAAACATGAATGATAACGAAACACTGTAATTCTTGTTTAATATATATGCATATTCAAACCGGTAACGTAATATTGTGAAATGACAGTATGAAAACTTGGGCGACTTAAAAAATGACAATAACATTTGTGAAGTCACAACCTTATTTACTTCAAATATAACAGATATGATATCAGTCTATCACTCTTTTTTGTTCTGATTACCAACATAAATAATTCGTAAGAACTGTCCAATGTTAAAATTTAGTATAGTCTACTGATGCCTTTCTCATATTATAGTTTAAAGTCATTGAAAAACTAATGACATGATAATCCTTAGTTAACAGGATTGTCTTTTAGAGTAATTCTAAGTTATGAATGAAATCAAATAACACTCTTCAATTTCTACGTATATAAAACTGAGTGGTGTAAAAAAAAATGGATACACAGTAATCAAATTCTTAATTTTATTAGAATCATAAATACTGATATAATCAGTTTGCCCTAAACCTCAGTTACTTAATTATAAATATGCTCTAAAATGTCAGTTTTGCAGCAAAATTAAAAACTGTATAGAATGACTTTCTATTAGAAAAATTAGCTGTCCACATAGATTACAGTGAAGTATTAAAAATGTCATCGTCTGCAGAGCATAAAACTCATTCAGTATTTAATGTACAAATCGATGGACACAAAACAAGTTGGATAAAAGAATCTAGATGAAATAGCTAACTTCTTTGGAGTTATCTATGTTAGTAACGTAAAACTGAAAAAAAGTACATATATTTTATCACTTTAGTAGATACTGATAACTGTCAATATGAATTCAACTTGATCTTGAAAATATTTAACACAGAAAAAAACGAGTAAAGAATATAAAGTCATTTAGTGGTTAGTTCATTCATCAATCCATAGATACGTAGACAACTACCAATCCATAAACTTATGTAAAATACAATAAAGAATTACACAGTAAAAGATTAATTCGATTTTATAGATAACTAAAATGTGCATGGATATAGTGAGATTACATTACAACATAACCTATTAGCTTTTGCTGAAAATTCTGTCATTTCATCCATTGTTTTAATGAATCTGGCTTTAAATCGATGATTATTTTATAAGCATACCATTCAACTGAGAAAATCCAATGTGATAAATTACAAGTCGTTATGAGAATTTCTGTAAAATGAAATTCTTATATCTTTTAAACAATCAATACGGATATTAATTTTAAAAAATGAAACATTCCCTTGATGTAAATTGATCAGGCATGATAAAGGCTAAAAGAAACTTGAAATGAATCAGGTTTTTGAACTGTTGACTTTTCTTTGATCATCTTAACCTAAATACCTAATAACTACATAGTTTCCGATCTTAATGAACTATGGATATATTTAATCCAAAATTGTTTTACATTATAATATTATTTGAGCACAGATGTTGCATATCTTGTCTATCATAAACTACCTTCTGAAAGAAATACAATTTTCATTAAAGACAACATATTCTATTGAATATTTATTGACTTCTTTCACAGCTGTTCATTATTCCGTTTAACAATGTTTACGATAATTTCTAGAATCTACAGTACTAGTCAACAATGAGGTAGTTGACAATAAACTGAGACATTTTTTATTTCCTGAAGAATTAGTTCCAATGTAGTTTCGAAGTACCATAGAGCGCAAAATATGTATGAATATCAGGATTTATCAGACACTGTTTCATAATTTGTGATGGTTATTAAGAATGATTTCTATGAATCATGAAATAATATGAACTATCACTCATTATCAAAATAATTTAACCGAGGAAAGATTATCAGAATCCAATGTTATAAATGACATCATTCTTGTACTGATGTACTAACGCCTGATTGATCGTTTATATTAGTTGCCATTACTTTAAACAATGAATGAGTAAAACATTGGGATGAACATTCACTTAGTTTTAGGTGTAAACCAATATACATTAGATTCAGTTTGAAAAGAATAAAAAACATCCTAATTTTGTGCACTTAATTCCTGGTATAAGAAAGATCTATAATTTCATCACTCAAATAAATAACTTATAAAATATAATACCTTCTTATTAATTTCAATAGTTGAAATCATGAGTCAATTGAAGCTAGACCACCATGGAAAACCTGGAAGCACTGGATGACCGTTTCACCCTAATATGGAACTCCTCAGCAGTGCGCATCCACGATCCTGCCTCCCGCGAGATTCGAAACTAGGACCTATCAGACTCGTGCGCGAGGGCCTAACCATTAGACCACTGAACTGGTATCCAACAGTGTTAATGTCTAATTTCAACTTCCTATTAGTATTTTCATAATCATTTTTAGAAATATGGCCAAATTCATATGTAATTATCTACATTATTACTCGAGTCACGTTATTAAACTCATTGAATCATTATTATGTAATCTTATACATATAAAAATAGATATAGTTTCTAACTGGAAGAAAAATCAATTCATCACAAACACAAATATTTACCATTTATTTAGTATAATATAACCAATAGTTCTTGTATAGTTCAAAGATTCATTGAATATAAATTTTAAATGAAATCCATTCAATGAAATGTACAATTCAATGAATAGTTCTTGAAATGTAATACATTTAAATAAAATTCCATGATGCTTTAAACTATTGATAAGATACTCAAAGGTTTCATTTATTATTTTATAGACTAGAAAACCATTTGCATATTAAGTAAACAATGATTATAAATAGTATGCTATATATATATATATATATATATATATATATATATATATATATATATATATATATATATATATATATATAAATGCATGAACAGTCTAATGAATTATTGAATGAAACCTCAGGGTATGAACATACTTTACAATATTGATTAAAACTATGTTGTTCATTTAACTTAGAAACAAAATAAACTATTTTTATTCTAAACTAAGTTAAGTTGAAATTTCATAATTCCCAATTAAATACACCCATAATCGTTGATTGATTATTTTAATTAGATTGATTAACTTTTTCACAAAATTGTTAATAATAAATTACGAATCATATAAAACTAAGCATTTTCTTCTGAACTCTTAAGAAAATACCAAACATGTTTTTTAAGAGTTTATTGTGGTTTTTCTCATATTGAATAGAAAACTTAAGACAATATCGAAGTAATCCGTACAGAATGCACATATGTTAATAAGAGATTGATCAATTTTAGTTCTAAAACATCAATGGAAAGATTCAAATAAACAATACAAAATGAATTAAATTTTCCAGGGTAAACATTTGAAAACTTACAGATCCCATAATCTTGAAGTTGACAATTTATTGTTTTCAATAGAATTAGATCGTTTATTTATTATTTAATTGAAAGTAGTGTAAATAATAATAATAATAATGTTTAACTTGAAATTTGTTAATAGTTAACCACACCTCCTATGATCAATGATGAGTTACCATTTGTATTTGACTTTTATATATATTTGATTTGTGATTAAATAATAATTATACATGTTTATCCACATACATATACATAAACATCAGAATGAAATTCTTGAAAGTGATTCTTTTTTTTTGTTGTTGTTGTTGTTGCGGTGGTTGTTAAACACTGTGATACACAATAGATAAACACGTGGTTTCAATCATTGTAATGGTTATCATTCCGTTTGCAAGTTTACAATTATTCAAAAAAAGTTGTTTTTTTTCACTGAAAACTTTTAAATTCAATTCACATGTCATTAATTTCTAATAGAAACAATATGAATTATATACGTGTAAAAGATGCTTGCCAACAAACTGAATAGAATATGATAATTATTATTGTTAAACTTGGTTCAGTGAAATTTCACCATGAATAAGTATTCAATGAATACTGTGTTCTAGTCAATTGGCTTTCGGGGTTGTTTCTTTTCCTCTTTGACATTAAAATTATAAACAAACCAAATTGAATTCATATTAACTCATTCGAATATGTAATCAAAAGTTTTTGGGTAACAATATGGAATTACAATTGATTGATTAATGAAAATGACATATTTGTTTGGTCATTTAGCTTTGATTGAGTACTACTTATTGTACAAAGTGTAATATGATGACTAGATGAATTTACTCGACATCGTGTTTACTATGTTGAGATTTTATGTAGGCTTCGTGTTGGAATCTAGGTAATTGATGTACCCTTAATCCAAGATTCCCTGTCAACTACATCTAATCACAAGACATGATGAAATGATAATACGTAATATTATGAAATAAATAAGTTTCAAACGCTCATATGTTGCAGCAAATATTATGTAACAAGATAATTTTACAATTTTTATGCCTTGATCAATAATATTGATCTTAACATAATGGGGAATAACTCAAATCCACCAGTTGAATAAGCGATGAACAAGTACATGATATGTATCAATATATTTAGTACTAATTAATTATTCATTCTTAATTGAACTTATATTCTGAGTTGATAAGTAGAACAATTGTTACTTGTGTGAACATAATACAGTGATCAGAAGTGAGTTCTAATTACCCTCTTAGTTTTATTTCTAATTCATTAACTGAAGATAAATGAATCTCATTCTTTTGATGTTGCCGCCGGATCTAGCTCCCAGCATTCATCATTCCATTAACAAAATATCTAGTTACTTAACCACAATAGATGTGAGAGGCATGAATTATTCGATTGAATATTTCTGCTTCCTAAACTGTTTATAAATTTTCCTATTCATATACAGGCTACTTATGTAATTAGTATCTACCAGAAAATCATGAGCATCTTTGGTATACCACACATGACGTTAGTGAAACTGATTTTCATCTCAGGGAAAAAATGTCTAATTTTGGAGACACTAGTAAAAATCTACTAAAAGCAATCTTGTGGTTTTCACTACGAACTTAGCACATCCAGTTTCATGGCAAGCGCTTCACTTAGGGACCACAGAACTGCCCTTCTATGGCTTATATTTCTATCTTCTATCAGTTCTTTATACTGAGCAATCATATTCTAATGAGGAGCAGTTCTAATACTGAAAATAAATTTCGATTTACAAATTAACCAAACGATATTCTACTGAGTTCGGTTTTTTTAAAATTAAAAGTGTAAATCAATAACTCATGGTCAAATTCAAATGAACCATTATAACTGGAGACATTCAACAATTTACACTCATATTTTTCCTCTTTTCGAAAATCGAATAATTAGCACCATAATTACTTTGAAAATATTCCATAAGATTAAGTATTTATTGACTTTAAGTTTTATATTAACTTATTAAAGACTAACATCTAAAACTTATCACCCATTAAATATTGTTGCTATGAATTTCAGTTATGATATGTTGACGTTGACAATAGGACTTATACTAATCATACAATTAGAACATATTAACATGACTATTAAATGAATAATTTCATTTCAAAAGGATTTTCAGGCATTATATAATTAAAATTATAGAACAGAATTGTGGTTTAGTAGTTTAGGTATTGAATTTGTTCTTTTACTTATTGAGATGTTTAAAGATCACTTCTGCATCCTTAATTTAAACTCGGATTACTAGAATTGCAGATCCAATTCAAAGTAAAAATTTAAAGTCAATCAACTGTCAACAAATGTATTTACTAACATAAAACACGAAGACACTGGAAAATGCAACAAATTTGTTAATAGTGATGAAGTATGTATATGCCAATAGCAATCAGAAACGATCAAAATGGAGTTAGATATAGGGCCACTAAAGGTCCATATTATCATTGAACATCTTTATTCTTTTTTAAATGAATGTAACTTAGTTACTTTGATCGATTTCCAGAAACTGAATTATTTTGTAGCTTGAAATAACCCAGAAAAAGAAAGACAAAGTTTTCTTAATTATTTGACAGTCATTTATTTATTTTGTTTTAATGAAATTTTAAATTCATTTTTGTATTGGTTGTTTAAGTCGTCCCATATATGATTAGGACTACAATTGATCAGTCTCTTATTGACATAGGTGTATCTTGCAAGGATTGCCTCGATATAGCCTTAAGTCACAAGCTTTTTCAGCAAAGATGGATAGTGATTAGCAGTGCAATCTAGAACGCGCGTTTTGTCCTATTTGCGACTCATCAGCTAGATTTGCCTGAAATATACAGTTGATGTTCACTCCGGGGACTCAGACCCAGTATCGTTTGCTTCAAACGCCATCTCATTATCTACTTAGCTACTGCTTTCTGATAGCCACTATCTTGTGTAACGAGGTGAAGTTTTCACTCATTTTTGTATTGATTGTTTGAATCTTCCCAATGATATTTGAGACTGCAAGTGATCAGTCTCTTATCGGCATATGTGAAACCTGTACGGATTGCCTCAATATTGTTTGAAGTCACAAGCATTATAAACCACTATCTAACCCTGCTTATAATGGAATTTCAAATTATTGCAATTCACTTGAATGTATTCAATGGAATAGGATATCATTGAATCATACCTAAATAACCTAAGTTTGATATAGAAGCGAATGTCCTAGAGGGTTGACAAAAGTCTCCAAATGAATTATGAAATAGATCATTTCATAAAATTGTTAAAGTATAAATTTGAAACTACCTGATTAGGTTAAGTCATTAAAATCAAATACATTAGATTCATAGAATTCCACACAACACTTCGTATAAAACAAAATAATTGAGGTATAATAAATTTAAATGTAGATTTTATTACATAATCCAGTGTTATCAGGTGTTTTGTGGAGATTTTAGCAACTTCAATAGTTGAAATCATGAGTCCATTGAAGCTAGACCACCATGAAAAACCTGGAAGCACTGAAAGGCCGTTTCGTCCTAGCATGAGACCCCTCAGCAGTGCGCATCCATGGTTGAGTGCCGTCCAGCTCAGTGGTTTAGAGGTTAGGTGTTCGCGCGTGAGACCGATGGGTTCTGGGTTCGGATCTCGCGCGGCAGGACCGCGGATGCGCGCTGCTGAGGAGTCCCATACTAGGACGAAACGGCCATCCAGTGCTTCCAGGTTTTCCATGGTCGTCTGGCTTCAATTGACTCATGAATTCAACTAGTGAACTAATTTAGTAATTATTCTCTCCAAATTTAAATTATCAGGTTACAGAACTAAATGCCACTTCATGTTATTCAGTTTCTTACGGTCTAATAATATTAATAGACTTCACAAAAAGTTTCTGAACCAATTCGATGAAATTGTTCATAGAAAGTGAACTAAATAATAAAGCTATTATGATTCATTTCTAATTCATCATAGCTATACTACATCTAATTTCGTATAAACTGCAATCATGTTCTTTAGAAATTAAATTATCATTGATCTTATCAGTTGGAATACAGTAAACCACATTTTGTAACTTTATCTTCTTACTATTGTGAGTAACTACTCAAGAGATAACAAAAAATTTTAACAAATCATAAAAGTTTGATAAATCTGAACTTTACTGTGCAAAACGAAGTTACTGATTATGGTATGTATTAGACTTTGTTTGATAATAAGTTTCAGACATTCATAATTACTTCAGTTTACTTATTGTCCATATAAACAGTATTTTAGCTACTACGGCGAATATGCCTGAAAATCTGGGGACAAAATTTCAGCAATGTAATAAAGGGTGGTAACTATAAAACCTTTAGCTATTGACCAACATCCTGAAACAATCGAGTACTTTCGGCTTACCGATGGTGTATTGAAAGTAAGACGTTTCTTTAGGATAGCCTGCATTTCTACTAAAGCTGCCTTTTTCCTCTCTTAATGATAGATTAGAAAACGACGGTCATAAAATGTATCCCAAGTTCTGTCACATAGCTTACAAACAGTGAAGTTATTTAGCAGTTTTAACAATAACACATGTTTTTAAATAAAACACATGCGACTAAATAGCAGACGTTCTTTATCTCACTATCTTATACAGCACTAAAGCTTTTCGTCCACCTGCTTTATTAAAATCTTATCTGTCGCGAGATAGCTGATGCATAGTTCTAACTTCCTGTTACACTTTCAGTAGTGTATCTATCCTATTAAGCACTTAGGTAATATCATGTTCATTGTGATATAAATTTATATACTGCTACTAACTCAATCCATAGAGGAATATGTTTATCGTGATATCCGAAACTAGCATTAAGTAACTACTCATTACTCTTTGATTTTTATTGGTTCTTCACATAAAGACACTCGGTGATTATAGTTATCTTCCACTTTAAAGTAGTCCATTGTGTGAGAAAAAATTGGTTAATAAAAATAGTTATTAAAGTGAAGAAAATGGAGAAACGGGGGATTGTAAAAGATAACAGGTATGTTATACCAAAAACATTTA